GAGAGAGAGAGAGAGAGAGAGAGAGAGAGAGAGAGAAAGAAAATGGAAGGAAGAGAAAAAGTAAAAGAGAAAGGAAGAGAGAGAAAGAAAAAGGAAGAGAGAGAGAAATTAAAAAGAGAAACTAGAAAAAGAAAGGAAGAAAGAAAAAGGAAGAAAGAAAAAGAAAGGAAGAAAGAAAGAAAGGAAGGAAGGGAAACAGAGAGAGAGAGACTTGGCTCAATGGCACAACATATGTTTTAAATAAAGAGATATGAAATATTTAAGATGGCTGTTTAGTCGAAACGCTGAGAAGTATTTTCTCACTTGCGACCCTGGATATGGGGTAGACCCTAGATAAGGATGGCTATCATATACAGGTAATCCTCATTTAGCGACCAATCAAAGTTACAACGCAACGGCCCTGAAAAAAAAAAAGTGACTTATGACCCGTTTTTCATGCTAACGATCCTTGCAGCATCCCGTGATCAAAATTTGGTCAACCTAAACAACTCTGACTAAAAATCTTGGGAGCGAACGATAAACTCCTGAAAATTCAATGTTTTGTTTTTTTTGTTCTTCCTTGCACGAGATCTTGGAACCCGATGGCCAAATTCTTTTTGGGGATTAAGAATCTCTAGAAATTTGGGGGCAGGTTTTGGGGTGGGGGTAGTAGTAGCCGCGCCCCTCCGCCTCCAAGCTTGGTTGGTGCCGAGATCCAGCGGAGGTTGGGTGAATTAAATGCAACCATCTTGAATTGATAGACGGCTGATTTATTCGGGCTCAGGGATGCCCTTATTTGGGGAAAAAACAACAACAACAAGAATTTGCAAAACCCTTTTTTTGTGCAGTTCACGGGCCGAGCAAGCTGAGGAAACAAGTTGATGATCAGCCTGGGGAGCTCACCCCTTCCGAGAAGGCGCCTGTTTTTAACAAAAGAGCGAGAGGTGGGTCTCCGTGGGGGTGGAGCCCTACAAGCCATCCGTTTGTGACACTTTTTGGCTGTCTGTGGCGGAAAAGATGAGCGGGAGGACGGTGGTGTTACAAGAGATAAAACCTGGGAAGTGGGGGACACGACAAAATATATTGCAGAACTCCAAACACCTTTTATCTCTCCTCCTCGGCCTCACTCCTTCTGCCATAATTCATTTTCGAAGGAAGACCCGGGAATAATTTTTGATGTAAACTCTGAGGCAAACATCGATCACTTTGCTGATAGGATCGTAAGGAGGGTGAGGAAGAAAGAGAGAGAGAGAGAGAGAGAGAGAGAGAGAGTGAGAGAGAGTGAGTCCTTCGCCAGCCTCAAAAAAAAAAAAAAAAAAAAAAAGAAAAAAAAGTGAACTCGCCCCGAGTTCAAAAGCAACGTGTGGAAGAAAAAGATCCGCGGGTTTTTCAATTTTAAGCCAGCTCCGTCGTGGGAGGATGATCCAAGATGGTTGTCAGGTGGAGAAGAGCCAGATTTTGTTTAATGGGAAGAGGTGGGGGAGAGGAGGAGAAGAAGAAAGAGGAAGAAGAAGATAGAGGAGGAGGAGAAAACGAAAGAGAAGGAAGAGGGAGGGGGAGGAGAAGGAAAAGGAGGAGAAGGAAGATGAAGATGATAGTGGTGGAGGAGGAGGAGGAAGAGGAGGAGAAGAGGAGGAGGAGGAGGAGGGGAAGAAGAAGAAGAAGAAGAAGAAGAAGAAGAAGAAGAAGAAGAAGAAGAAGAAGAAGAAGAAGAAGAAGAAGAAGAAGAAGAAGAAGAAGAAGAAAGAGGAGGAGGAGATGATCACTCAACTATTGTGGGGGTAAAGAATAGTAAAAATACCTGAAAGAAGTAGTTCCCTACTACTTGAATTTCCTAGAAGCAAGAATGTCTCTTGCGCTACTCTAGGTACAGTACTATATTGTGCCAAAGAAGGATTTGTGACTTAATTCCCATGAGGAACTTGACAGGTTTGTTCTTGGTCCTCCTGGGCGGAACTGATGTGGACAGCAAAGTTCCTTTCAAGTCATGTGCAACCTACATGGTTGGCTCCGAATCTCTGGGGACTCCTCCAACATTTGAAGTGAAAGACACGCTCCAAAAAGTATAGACAGGGATCTGATCAGCCAGATACGGGCATAATTATGGCTCTTGGGGATTGTCTCTTGGTTTCCTTATTGAGGAGAGGAGGTGCTTCCTCCTCGTCCTCCTTCTCTTTCTCCTCGTCCTCCTCCTTGTCCTCTCCTCTTTCTCCTCCTCCTCCACCACTATCATCTCCCTTCTCCTCCTCCTTCCTCTTCCCCGTCTGAAGGGCACCCTTCAACTTCCCAGTCCTCTGAGAATTCTGGGAATTCTGGGGCCCGATTCACCAATCCGGAGCTCAGTTGGGGAAGCTGGTTTAGATACCAGGGAGTTCTCATCCAGGCTGACTCTGACAAGCCGGGTTCAGGTGGCCTAAGGGAGTCTTGGCGGATACGTCCGGCTGTCCCTTGGTTCCTTAGGGGAAAGAGACGAGGGAGCCCCAAGACAAGGCCCCCAGAAAGACAAGAGAGCTGGCTTACTTGGACTCTTCTCTTCAGCAAGGTCGCACGTGCACAGGAGCTCCGAGTCAATGGAGATCGGCTTCTGCTTAATCCAGAACTTGGTGCTGGCTTTCTGATTGGTCACAGGATCTACCTCCACCTTGTCGCCTGAAATACCTGAAGACCCAGAGAAGGTCAGTCAAGGGAGGAAGGGACGTTTCACACCGAGGCACGGAAAAAGCAAATGAAACGGCCTCTCCCCGGAGGTTTTTTCAGCGTAGCAACATACCATATCATTAACAGTAGAGAGATGTCAATAACTACCCGCATTATATGTGTATTTATGTTGGGGGGGAGGAGGAGGAGGAGAAAGAGGAGAAGGAGAAGAGGGGGAGGAAGGGAGAGAAGAAGCAGAAGAAGAAAAGATAAGAGGAGGAGGAGGAGGAAGAATAGGCAGAGAAGAGGACAAGGAAGAGGAAGAACAGGAGGAGGAGGAGGAGAAAGAGAAAGGGGAGGAGATAAAAGGAGGAGGAAAGAAGAGGAGGAGGAAGAGTGAGTGGCAAAGAGGACATGGAGGAAGAAGAGAAGGGACAAGGGGAAAAAGAAAAGAAAGAAGGAAAAAAGAGGAAGAATAGGTGGAGAAGAGGACAAGGAAGAGGAACAGGAAGAGGAGGAGGAGGAGGAGAAAGAGTGAGTGGCAAAGAGGACATGAAAAGAAGAACGAGAGGAAAAGGGACGAGGAGGAAGAAGAGAAGGGACAAGGGGAAAAAGAAAAGAAAGGAGGAAAAAAGAGGAAGAAGAGGTGGAGAAGAGGACAAGGAAGAGGAAGGAGGAGAAACAGAAACCAGAGGAAGAAGAAGAGATGGATAAGGAGGATGAGCAAGGGGAATTAGAAGACGAGGGAAGAGGAAGAAGAAAGAAGACTTAAACCATCGTTCTACTATTCCAACCTGCCCAAACACCAACCTGAGAAGTTAATTTACCTCCCAAGAGGCTGTGTAATTTATTACAGATCCTATTATGGTTGGGACCACCACCACCCTCCCCCTCCTTTCCAACACAACCCTCTTCTCCACAGCAACAACCTTGCTACGGTGCGGAGCTGCAACCAAGCAGGCGTCTCATTGCTTAAGTTACAATTACAAGGTTTCTCCGTTGACATGAGTGACCAGACCTCTCCCTCTCTACACTTTTTCATCATGGCAGCTGCGAGGGGAAAGACTTCAAAGTAATTACATTTTTTAGGTCATGAGTTACAGGTCAAGGTTAGCCTCGGAATAGGCCAAAGGAATCAAGAGTATTTAAAAAGCAGCACGAGAGGTGGGGGGTGCGTGGGGGGGCAATTCCTTTGTTTAGACTCAAAATGTTGCCGGAGCTCTTTCCGCGCCCGATTCCCCCCCCCCCTTCTTCTTCTTCTTTTTTGGTCGTTTGTATTTCTCTAGAAGGAAAAAAATAATAACAAAGGTCCTGGATGGGCAAAAAACAGAAGTCGGAAATGGCTAAGGAGCCCCTTTTTAATTCCAGCCCATTTTGCAAAATTGATTGCAACCCCCACCCCAAAAAAATATTGTGGAGAAAACGAGGTTTTGCATCCAACACGTCCAGGGGTGGGATTCCATCGGTATAGCAACCGGTTCGTTCAAACCGGTCGAAACCGGTAGAATCCCACCCCCTGAACACGTCTAATGCCTCGCAGAAATTCTCCCCTTCTCTTTGTCTCAATCCAAAGCTTTGTGGCTAAAAGGAAGTCTGAGGAAGGCCAAGAAAGGTCCTGCGGCTTTCTATTTAGAATTGGAAGTGGATATTGCGGGGATTAGAAGCTTGTCTGAAGAAGGTTGACTCGTAAATGTGTGTTTTATCGCTCATTTTCATCAGCCTTTTGGGCAGCCAAAGAGAAGGCGATCCAACAGATAAATGAAGGTTTCAATAAAACAGCTGCAGGGGTGTCCACACCCAGCAAAAAAGATGAGAAACAGCAGCAAATCTTATTTAAAGCCACACCTAGAAGCCTGAAATAAAACTGGACTTGCTTCCTGATGTAAGTGAGAAAAATTTTGGAGGGACCACGCCACATTTTAGAAGACAATGCTGTAATTTTTTCTCTCTCTCTCTCTCTAAATAGCCAAGAGCTATGTCAGATAGCCCCTAAGGGTGAGAGAAACGCATTTTGAACCTAAGAATAGAACCATCAAACCACGTATTAACTTACTATCAAGAAGACACTGGAGAATAACTCCCTAAAGAACAGGAAACATCTGCAAAAAACAAACCAAGCTAAGGACCCCACAGTTCTCCTCTTCCTTTCTGCAAACCCCTCTTGCTTCTAACACTGAGAAGGTCTGAGAGATCGAAGGACCTCACGGTTGTCCTCCTCCTCCCCCCCTTCTCTGCAAACCTCTCTTGCTTCTAACATTGATGAGGTCACCTAGGTGAGTAATGAAAGGTCTGCAAGAAATCAGCCAAGCTCAGAGAGCACTAAGGACCTCACAGTTGTCCTCCTCCTCCCCCTTGCAAACCCCTTTTCCTTGTAACACTGATGAGATCACTTAGTTGGGTAACCAAACATCTGCAAGAAAACAACCAAGGGCCCCTGCGCTGCAAGTGTTCTTCTTTTCGATTGCATCTCTGGTTTGTTGGAGTATCCAAGTGCTGGGCTGACGCTGGAGGGAAGGAGGGGAAGGGGAACCTACACCTGTGTTGTGTTAACTTTAGCTCCTGCAGGTGCCAAGTGTAGCGTAACTCTCATTTGGAAGCTGACCACTCCGGGAGTCTGTCATAGACTCCGGCCACTAGAGAAGCACATTTCAATTAATCAAGCCGCACAATTTGTCACTGGGGCCTACCCCTCCCTCACCAAGGACCGTCTTCCAATTACCCTTCACGTCAAAGAGTCCCAAAGCATGCCGGGGGTGTGAAAACAGCGCTGGATCCTTCATTAGGAAAAGGGACTCTTTCATCGCAAATGTTCACTCCACGAGGGCTCAAAATCCCTATCTCTTTCCTTGCAAAAATAGGGCCAGCAGCTGGTGTTGTTCGCTCCTCAAATGGTTTTGTTTTGTTTTTAAATCCACAAGCAGCCCCAAAATAAGGCTGATTAAAAAACAACCACCCAAAACAAACTGAAGACACCCTTTATCATGCAAATCGACCAGATCTTCCCTCCCTTCGATAGATTACAATAAACAAGCACAAATAAATGCGGATGGATTTTGTTCTTTTCTTTCGATCTTAAGAGAGAGAGAGAGAGAAAGAGAGAGAGAGAGAGGGAGAGAGAGAGAAGAAAAAAAAACACCACATTTCATTTCATTTCCAGTCTCCTTCTCGAATGCGCGCCGCGGCGGAGTCAACCCTGTTAATGCGCCCGTGTTAATTTGATCGGGTTTGTCAGGTAGCTCCAGTGGAAAATTATATAAAACTGTTCCAGATGAACAGATGATAGTGACATGAATTAAAGTGATAGAACAATAGTAGAATATAAACCAGAAATGACATCCAAAGTGGCTGTTGATTTATTGCCATCCAGAGTGTGGTTCTGGGCTTCCATGTATATTAGCCGTAGAAATCGGGGCCCATTTAGCCGGGAGATGCTCATACATACATCACCAACTGCTACTCCATGCCAAGGTCACTTCTCGTGGCATCAATCTTTTGCTACGGAGGCTCCTTGGCTTACCAGTGTGTGTGTGTGTGTGTGTGTGTGTGTGTGTGTGTGTGTGTGTACGCACACACAAAAGGAGGCCGAGGCTGTCCGGGTGGGGAAACCATCTTGGTGGGAGACCGTCGGCCCCTTCCTCTCATCCCGCCTCGCCTTTATCGCCTGGAAAAGCGCTTGAAACTTTCTATTATTTTTATCGGCAAACGGTGGAGGGTGAGCTGCTCCCATCTATTACAGCGCCTATCGGCCCATCGCGGGCGCACCAGTTTGGGCCCGATGGTGCGTCCTTTGTGAGGTGGGCTGCCTATTCCCCACCCCCCACCCCCAAATGTTTGCTGCCTGCTGTTGCAAACACACAGTTGGAACGATACTTTACGATGTTTGCAGGCCGAGTCTGAGCTGACATGCTATACTCAAAGTTCTGGGATTGTCGGGCGCAAGCAGTCAAACCTGCATGTGTCGGGATCAAGCTAACTACTTTATTGCTTTCTGCCTGTAATGCAGGAATCTTCCTAGATTGCTTGCCTTCCTTTGGGAGCAGATTGCTAAGGTTCTACGAAGATTAGGGGTGGGAAGCTAATTCCCTACTTGATTCCTCCTCCCTGCTTAGCTGGGTGCTTTCCAACAAGTATCCTTTTGCTGATTTAAGAGGAATGATGGTTTTCGGCCTGAACAATCAGACCCACACGCGCAGAGTTCACACTAACCCCTTTAATGTTGTGGACCCCTTGGTGCTCCCTGAACTTGGTTGTTTTAGTGTGGACGTTTCCTCACCCACCTTGGTTAGCCGGCGCTAACCAAGCTCAGAAAACACCAAGGACACCACAGTTCAGCCCTGAGCTTCAAATATCCCATTGCTACTTTATTGCTTTCTGCTGGCTATACGGGGATTTCCCCAAATGGCAGCTTTTACCTGGGAAAAGCCAAGATAAGGTGATAAGCATTTCTGGGTTGTGTGTGCGTTTCATATGTAGCCTTCTTGTGTTTATGTAATCCAGGCCGATTTCTTGCTTAAGTTCTCCTGTCACCTGGGAAGTGGTTGCACTCCCAACAGGGGGTTTTACCTCCTCTGACTCACTGCTATTGTCTACCCGGGCCTGCATTCCCTTCTTCCGGACCCCCGCAACGTCTCCAGGGTCAGGACCGAGGTGCCCTGGTGGCTCAGTGGTTAGAAGAGCAGCACTGAAGGCTCCCCAGCCTGGAGTTCCGATCCTGACCGGCTTTCCATTCCTTGACTTGGCCTTCCACCCTTCCGAGGTCGGTCAAATGAGGACCCAGGTTGCTTGGGTGGGTGGGTGGCAATATGAGGACATGGTAAAACACCCAGAGTGTGCTGCAAAGCATTACACGCTGTGGTATATGAGTCTCTAAGTGCTAACCCTTTAAAAAACAAAACTTTGTATGAGGGGTGATAAAATTAACATAAATACAATTTTTACAGAGAGACGGTTCTCACTGAGAAGGGACAAAACGTGGAGTAGCTCTTCCACAAATCCAGCTGGTTTGTTTCTTCACTTCAGTACAAGTGAAAGCTATTTGTTTCTAGACAGAAAGACTTGCTGGGTTAAGCATTTGTCTTTGGTGATCTGTCATGACCTTTTCAAGCTCTTATTTCTTGACAGATTCCAGATACAAATGAGTCAAACTTCCCTGGAAGGAAACTATCACCCCAAGATGGTTTGCTCAAGAGCAGAAAACACGGCCGAAAGCTGCCCTCCATCAACTCCAGTGTATAAATCCTTCCTTAACAAGACAATAAAAGGAGGGGGGGTGGGGAGAAGGGAAGGGATGAGGAAGGGAAAGGAAGAGAGAAGAAAGGAAAATAAAAGACAGAGGAAGAAGAAGAGAGTCAAAGAAAGGAAAAAAATGAGAAAAAGGCAAGGAAAAGAGAAAGGAGGGAAGGAAAAGAGCGAGAAGGAAAAAGAGGGAGAAAGGAAAGGAAGACAAGATGAAAACTTGCACCAAAGGAAAATAAACAACATTGGACAACAAAACTCAAAAAAGGAAAACAGAAACCCTCTTTGTGGCTTTAACTTTTCAGGAAATAAGTATCACATTTGTGTCTCTTACACACACACAGAAAGACAGACAGACAGACACAGAATCTCCATAGATGACAGGGCCACAGTTTATATTTTCTTTCCTCCTCCTCCTCCTCCTCCTCTTCCTCCTCCTGTGCTTGTGTGTTCAAACAGCTGCCTCCAACGCACAATCTCAGCACAAAGATGGGGGCTGCTGGCAAACTCTGTGCTTTCCGAAGACAAGAACAAACACTTTGTCTGGAGCGGGACGCCCTGCCGACGTGGTCGGGATCCCGGGTGGGGGGTGGGGAGTGATGGAGCTTCCACGTTTTCTGTTTTATTTTTCTCCTGCTCCAATCGTGTCCGATTCTCAGAGACTCCCTGCAGTTTTCTTGGCGAGGTTTTTTTCCCCCCAGAAGTGGTCTGCCATTGACACCTTCCTGGGGCTGAGAGAGAGTGGCTGGCCCGAGGTTGTCCCCCACACCCTGCCCTGCCAGCTTTGTGCTCAAGGCAGGACTAGAACTCACGGCCTCCCGGTTTCTAGCCTGATGCCTTAACCGTGATCGCCCCAGAATATTTTTTTTTAAATTACAGCGTTCTTATCATTTGCCCTCTTTTTGGCCACGTCTGGTGAGGAGCCAAGGTCCCAGATCTCAAGGAGTTTGCCAATCCCCAGATTACGGATGCCGGGCAGAGCCGGAGAGGCTTCAAAAGGGCCCGTGGGGGAAAGGCCCGTCCGACACATAACAACCGATTTACCTAACTGGACGTCCGTGGTGAAGCGGAGCCTGTGGATCATGCTGACTTTGAAAGACTTATAGTGATGGCTGCTCAGCATGTCTTGGACGGTCGCGATATCGATCTGGGGATCTTCTTCCGAGATCTCCTCCCCTCTCGAGCCTCCGCCAAAAGAGAGAGAGAGAGAGAGAGAAAGAGAGAAAGTATGGTTGCCACTGAGAGACACGGGAAGGCCAAGGGTGACGACAGCAATAAGACTTATATACCCCTTTGCAGTACTTTTACAGCCCCCTCTAAACGGTTTACAGAGCCAGCCTCTTGTCCCGCAACAGTCTGGGCCCTCATTTTACCCACCTCGGAAGGACAGGATTGAACTGCTGACAGTGGGCAGAATAAACCTGCAATGCTGCATTCCAACCACTGTGACCCCCATGGCCTGCCCTCCCTCCCTTCCTTCCTTCCTTCCTTCCTTCCTTCCTTCCTTCCTTCCTTCCTTCCTTCCTTCCTTCCTTCCTTCCTTCCTTCCCTCCCTCCCTCCCTGGGGGAGAAAGTACTCGCAGTGCCATTTGCTTAACAGATCTGGAACTAGATCTTGCCTGACGGGCAGCCGCCTATCAAATTGTCTCCACGTGCCAAACACAAACACTTCTGTCATTAAGTCAGCCGCTTCCTCCGCCATAAACCGAGGAAGGAATTAGATTAGCTGGGGGATTTAAGGTGGCCACATTGTCACACAGAGCTCTGCCTTCTCATATCTTTGTTTGGTCATCTTTTCCCCACCTTGCCTTGACAGAATCTGGCCTTCCTTAATGGAAGGATGGATTCTTGAACACACGACGACTTATTTTAGTTGCCCTGGCTGGCCTCAGGTATTAAGGGTCGGATTAAAAACAAACCAAAAAAGCAGTTTTCGTTCCATGTTTATTTCGTTTTCTGCTCGTGTCAATGGCCCAGGTGAGAAGGACGGCAGCTATTCGGGTTACTGAACGAGGCGGCCACCGCTGTTCTCCAGCTGTTTTATCCTGTCCTGCTGAACCAAGTCCGCCTGTTGTCGGCTCGGAGAAATTGGGAACGGGGAGGAAGAGGAACGGGTAAAGTAGGCTTGGAAGAGCAACAAATCGCTCCCAACGAGAACACACGCGCCGAAGGCAAAGCTCAATTGGTACATGGAGACTAAGGCAGATGGCCCAGTCATTACAATTTCACACCCCAATGCTATGCCGTGTGAAATCCGGCAGGACTTCTGAATCTGTAAAATAAATCAGGTTTGCCTGACTTCCTCAAGGCCTCGGAAGGGACCGGATAACTGGATAACTCTTCCCGTTGAGCTGGGGAAGGCCGGTTTGGCCTACATAGAAATAAGAATAACTTGGGTCTTGTCACAACCATTTTGGTCTGGGGATAGTTGTTGTGTCTGACTCTTCACGACTTGATTTCCTTCAGGATTGACCGATTGGATCTCCTTGCAGTCCAATGGACATTCGAGAGTCTACTGTCAAGGGTAAACATCTCTAGGCAAGGTTTCGCTTGACATTTGACGTCCAGTCCAACCTTGAAGCTTCTGGGATTGTTGAAGGTGCTTAACAAGTCAATACCAGAACTAAACTGGGACTAGATGGGCGGACGCCACATTTCCAGATGGACATTGGCAAGCTGGAAGAAGTTCAGAAGACAGCAGTGAAGGAACTTGAAGATCGGGCCTATGAGGACGAGCTGAAGAAACTTGGGATGTCTCATCTGGAGGAAAGCAGATTTCATGAGTGGACATGTTTGTAAAAAAATAGGTAAGTGTCAGGTGTGAAGAATCAGGACTATAGGTTGAATACCAGTCAAGCTGATTTATTGCTCATACACAAAAATCTAGTCAACGGGTAAATCGGCGCTTAGATAAGAGTCAACGGAATTGAAGAAGGATTGGGTTTAGACCATTTGTGGGAATGTAAGGATACAAGGCTAATGTCTTTCTTGATTCCACCTCCAGGCTTTGAGAATCAGGAAGAAGGAAACAAGAGGCTAGGAAAAGGCACTCACTGGTAAAACACCCAATTGTTCCATTTCAGTGGAATAATTTCAAGGGCCAAAGAGGAGGGAAATTTTCAGAGTGAAGAATGAGATTGGATTCTCGGACGACATCCGAGATTAAGCTGGAAAATTCTCCGCGGCAACACGGCCAGACATTTCAGGAGCACTTCAGATCATTCCTTAACATAAAATATGAAGAGCCTCAAGGCCAACTCTTAAGACATCAAGGCAGAGGTAATGTAAATTCCAAATGAAAGAAATGTAATGCTTAGAAGCAAACAATTTTTGCAGGGGGTTGCTTAGTTCATAATGTCTTCCCTGGACCAACAATTAAAAAGAGTCCTTTCCCACCCAATCAATGCTTGTTTTCTCAGCCCTTTTTCAGTTTCAATAAGCTAACTTAGATAAGCAGGTTTTGGGGGTGGGGGGGAGAAACCTGTATAGAGTTGTTACTCTCAAATATTTGAAAATCGTTATATATATATATATATATATATTTTAAAAAGCCATTGACGTTATTCCACTGCCTATAAAAATAGCAAAACAATCCACCGAGGGGAGGGGGAAAAAAAACATCTCATAATGCCATCCTGACGACGACAAGAACAATAAAGTAATAAAAAATACCCTACAGTTTGAGACAGGAGGTTTCTTATTAGGATTACAGCAGACCCCCTCCTTCTTCAGCGAGACAGAACGGCTCTGCAAACGGCAAGCGATTTTCCTTCTAAGGAGAGAGATTCTGGGACGAGCTGCCTGTTTTAGGAGTCTGCACGTTCGTTCGCAGGTTTAGAAAAAATAAAAGCTAATTAGCTTCTTGGGAGTAGTTACAAGAATGTGTGAGGGAGAACTTAAGAGAGCAGCGAAGAAAAGGCGGGATTTCTCCAGAGGTAATATGGCTTTCAGAGGCAGCCCGATCTTGCGCTAGGAGGGTGGCCACCTTGGATTCAAACCCTTAGTTAAGAACGAGGACTTCTGGCCTGTTGACACAGCCCAGTGTTTCCTACTTGGACTTCCAGGCGTGTGGATTTTTAACACCTCCACCTACCCACCCCAAAGATTCTCCACCAAGGTGAGAGCTGTGAGATTCCCGGCACTGAATCCCAACTATCTGGAAGTTGCCAGAGTTCGTTGGGTTAGCAGCAGCCCGAGCCGCTTCAGCGGTGAGAATAAAATGGAAGTCCATTCCACCTCCGATCCTAATAGGGTTGACAAGTCTTCTCAGAGAGATCTTAGGAGATCCAGAACTAAGAGTAGGAAACTGGGGCCGTTTTTATTCTTTATTTTATCCATGCTTTTGGGCAACGTGAATGAATGCAAAAGGGATTTGGAGGACGCCGTTCCTTGTTGTCTACCGGAGGTTTTCTTCAAATGGGTATGTCCAGAGACCAAACGCAGACGGTGGCTACTATGATCTTCACATGTAACAGAATAACGGAGTTGGAATGGACCTTGGAGGTCTTCTAGTCCAACCCCCTGCCTAGGCAGGAAACCCTACACCACTTCAAACAAATGGCTGTCCAATCTCTTCTTAAAAACTTCCAGGGTTGGAGCATTCACAACTTCTTGAGGCAAGTTGTTCCACTGATTGTTCTCACAGTCAGGAAATTCCTCCTTAATTCTAGCTTCCTTCTCTCCTTGATCAGTTTCCATCCATCGCTTCTTGTCCTGCCTTCTGAAGGTGCTTTGGAGAATAGCTTGACTCCCTCTTCTTTGGGGCAGCCCCTCAGATATTGGAATAGACTGCTATCTTGTCTCCCCTAGTCCTTCTTTTCATTAAACTAGACCTGCCCAATTCCTGCAAACCCTTCTTCGTATGTTTTGGCTTATCTAGAGGATGCTAAGGAAATGCTGAAGAAACGCCTAGGTACTACCGCTTGTAGAGTTACTTAAAGGAAACCTTCAGACCTGAAATAATACTTAGTTCTTCCAGCCTCGGAAGGATGAGCCTTCTCTCCTTCCCCCAGGAAAACAACAATAAAGGTTGGTTTTGCTGCACTATATACCCACACGGCCCTGAATCCCACAACCCATCCTCTTATTGCTTTAATGTAGTGGTATATTGCTTAATGAAAGTTCTTAATTGTAATTCAATTAATTACATACACAGCGTCCCCAATTACATTTTCCAATAAGATATTGGCTTTGATACAGGACTAAAGGCACTTAACCAATTTTAATATATTAAGACCAATTTCCCTTGAATACTAATTACAATTTAATGACGAAATGGGAACCAGGAACTCTCCAGAAGCTGGGTGGGAACTATAAAAGGAAATTAACCATGAATAGTGCAGGGATTTCTCCTGAGCAGAGAAGAGAGGTGGGGAAATGAGAGGAGCGGGGGGAAGTGGAATGAATGAATGAATGAACGAATAAATAAATAAATAATCCCGCTTCAACGCAGTTCCTACCAAACATTCCCAAATATGGAAACCGGTTGTGTTTGTCTTCCCAACCCCAGTAAGGGACGGGTGGGGGGAAAAAAGAAAAAAGAAGACATCTTGTTTGCTAATAATAATTTGATTTAAAAAAAAAATCCGCTCCTCACTTAATCCCTTGAAATATAAACACACAAGATCTCAAAACGGAGCCTTTTGGCGTTCATTTCTCCAGCATCTGTTCAGCTCCTTAAAGAGAATACGGGTATACATGTGCATGACTGCTCTTCTGGAAAAAAAAAATTAAATATATATATATATTTATGTATGTATGTATGCATACATATATGCACACGCACATACACACATATATGCCTTAACGCTGCAAATCCTTTATCTGAAGAAATGGCTGATTTTAATCACAGCAGCTAAAATTAGACGGGGGTGTCTCACGGCAATTGGGAGATCTCTCTGGGGCATCCGAAGAACGGAGTACCAGCTGTCCAGGACTACACCCACTCCCCTCTTCTGAATAATGCCTTAAATGCCAGGCTCAAAAAGGTAGCAATCCTAAAGAGAGGAGCAGCCAGGAATAACTACAGGCCTGTGATCTGGATCGCTAAAGCACCGATCCATGGATTTGGGAGTTTAAGAGCAATTGCTGAGCCCTGGTCGCACAGGGGTTAGAATGCGGTCTCGCAGGCTAATGCTGCCCACCGCCAGGAGTTCGATCCTGACCGGCTCCAGGCTGACTCATCCTTCTGAGGTCGGTAAAACGAGGACCCAAATTGTTTGTGGGGGCAAGAGGCTGACTCTGTAAACCGCTCAGAGAGGGCTGTGAAAGCACCGTGAGCTGGGAAGCCAGGGGACGTAACTTACGTGAGCTGAAAGCTGTTTATAAAAGGCTGTAAGGAAGGAGGGAGGGAGGGAGGGAAGGAGAGAGAAAGAGAGAGAGAGAAAAGAAAAAGAAGATGACAGAGGAGGAGGAGAAGGAAAAGATAGAGGAGGAGGAGAGGATGATAGAGAACGAGGAGGAGGAAGAGGAGGAGGAAGAAGAAAAGGAGGAAAAAGAGGAGGAGGAGGAGAAGGAGAAGGAGAAGGAGAAGAAGAAGAAGAAGGAGAAGAAGAAGAAGAAGAAGAAGAAGAAGAAGAAGAAGAAGAAGAAGAAAAGAGCCAACCTACTATTCTCACGGACGAGGCAAAATTCCAGAGTGCTTTGGCTTTCCAAGGTACAATCCAAGTCGATGGGAATGTTGGGCTCACTCTGTTTCTCCAGGCGGTATTGAGGTCCTGAAAAGAGACAATAACAACTTTTATAAAGACTGTCTGTGGAGATTCTCAGTCACAACCACCCACCTGGGTCTTGGTTGTCCCAAAGGTGCTTTTTCAAGAGGCAACTGGATTTATTTTGTTCTCTCTTGAAGATGTTTCGCCTCCCACCCAAGAATCATCTCATCTTATTCGTCAGTTTCCCTTTCTGGGAACAGGCCGAGGCAAGAATGGTCAAATAAATAGACGAACGAAGAATAAATAAGCCAGAGCAGAGTAGAGTAGAGTAGAGTAGAGTAGAGTAGAGTAGAGTAGAGTAGAGTAGAACAGAACAGAACAGAATAAGGAATAGAATAGAATAGAATGTAGAATAGAATAGAATAGAATAATAAGGAATAGAATAGAATAGGAATGATAGCGTTGGAAGGGAGGTCTAATCCCCTGCCCCAGGCAAGATATTTTCTACTACTCTGGCCAAATGGATGTCCAGTATCTTCTTAAAAACCTCTGGTTAATTATTCTTACAAATTAAAAGACATTTCTCCTTAGTTCTAGGTTGGATTTTTCCCCTGGTAAGCTTCTGTACGTTAATTTTGGCTCCACTATCCGTATTCCAGCCATGCAACATACAGAGCTTATCTTAAGGCTGATTTCGACAAAAGAATCCTTCCTAGGGGTGACTAATCCCAAAAAACGGCCCCACTTCCTTCGGTGATATTTTATTTTTTTTTTAAAAAAAGAAGACACTGCTGAGATCCAATGTTGGTCAAAAATCATCCCCAGCTGACCTCCATTTGGCTTGATTTACTTTACGTTGAAGTGTCATTAAAGGAAAGCCCCACTAATTAAATACGGGTTGAAACGACGGCTTGGTGTGTATTTAACCGCTTTTATTTCCTATCGGGTGAAAAAAATTTTTTTTTTAAAAAAAGATCCATCGCCCCAGATGGACGAGGGAGGTGGCTGTATCGGGCCTTGGAGGGTAGAACATAAGCCATGGTTTGTTGGATGGGGCCCTTGGCTTTTTTAGTCAGACGGTCTGTTCTCCCAGCGGCCAATCAACTAATAACTCAAGGAAGACTTCTGGTCTCGCAACAGATGGCCTTCGGAGGGAGTCACACTACACAACTGAACAATTGTGCTTAAAGGAACACACCCCTAACTCAACCAGCCCCTTCGTAATGAACGGTGTGTGTGTTTCACAACTTTCTTTCTTTCTTTCTTTCTTTCTTTCTTTCTTTCTTTCTTTCTTTCTCTCTCTCTCTTTCTCTCTCTCTTTCTTTCTTTCTCTCTCTCCCCCTCCCTCCTTCTCCTTCCCCCTCCTCCATTACTCTAAGAAGCCATCTTTGCCTGCCAGCAAAATTGCAAAGCCTCCAGGTGGCCTTTTTGAAAAGCCAGACCCATCAGTTCTAATTTTTAAAACTTCTCCTTTTCAGTCAAGGCGAGAAAAAGCCCCAATTCCAACTTTTATCTCTGCTAAAATAAAAGCGCCTGTTATCTGCAGGCCTGATGTCAGGAGCTCTATCTCTCTTTCTGCTGACAAGCCCCAGACAAGAAAGATAAGATTGGGAATGACTCTCCCTTTCTCGGAGTAAATAAATAATCAATACTCATCTAAATGTAAATGAGGAAGTATCCCCCACTGATAACTGGGCTCTTATCAAACAGCCAATTCCACACACGCACACACACACACACATACACCCCCCACACACATACAGATCTGTCCACCAAATCACCACCGCTCCGGCCAGGAATAATGGCTAAAAATGGCCACTCAATTGAACCGATCACCGGAGATCAACCAGGTTTGGGTTTGGCTACTTTCCTGCCTCCCCACCGCCCCCCAATATTTGGGGAATACAATTTGGGGTCCATTAACTTTCAGCAGCAATGAGAGATGAATGGGTCAAGGTTGACAGAGCCAGGGGGGGAAATAAACCACTCTGAATGTGGTTTTATTCCCTCCCTCCAGCCCACTTTCCTTCTTTCCTTCCTTCCAGAGGGGGTGGGGAATAGCAGAAAACAAACTCAACCACCATCACAGCAAAATATATATTTTTTTTAAAAAAAGGAGTAGAAAGATGCAGATAAGACTAACAACAGCCAGCAAGCAGAGTACTGTAAGGCAGGAGAGAAGCAAATTTATAGAAAGACTAGCCGATAACTCGCCGTTGCCCAGGTATTTATCTATCCTAAGCTTGTATTAGACAGGATTAAGACGGCCCTGATTTCAGCAATCCGGAACAAAGGTCTCCTGCTGGAGCAGAGGGTTGGACTAGAAGACCTCCAAGGTCCCTTCCAGCTGTATTATCCTATGCCCCATAGATCAGAGCTGCTAGAGACAGATGGAGTTCATTCCAAAAATTGACATCGAAGGGAAATATACCCAAGGAAGAGTCCACAGCTGCAGGAATTTTTTTTTTTAAAAAAAAGGGAAATTCAGCGAACGATTCTTTGGGAATTTATGGACTACTTGTGGCAGATAAAACCTCATTTTTATAGCTTCCACCGAGATCCTTAGAAAGCAATCTGCTGACCGCTTTCTACCCCAGTAAGAGATCTCAACGGTACTTTTTCCCTTCTCTCCTTGTGAGAAATGGGTTGATTACAGAAACCGGAAGTTCTGTCCTCTGGCTAGGAGCAATGAAATTGTGTGATGAAATCGCACCCGATTAATTGCGAGGCTGAGCGGGTGCTTTCCTTGTAAATAAAAGCGAATTTGTGATTTGGCCTCTTTCTGCCTTTCAAACAAAATATCCCTTCTGTTAGGATCAATAAATTGAACTGAACAATTAAAGGCCCCAATCAAACTCTTTTAAATGGTGACCAGGGCCATCTTTTCGGTTACAATTTGATGAAATAATTTTTCACTGCATTGTTTCAGACTGACTCTTACGACTACCAGTACTGCTGCTACTAGTCTCTTCCTCCTAATAAACATCAGGGTATAATTTATTGGTTGTTGACTCCAGGGATTTGAGTCCTAGCCAGGGGTCTAAGAATCTTAAAAGTCAAAAAACTTGGACCTCTTGTGATACTCTCTATTGGAATAAACGGAAGAATGTCCAGGAATACCTCTTTATTTGATCAAAATATGGCTGTCAGCGAAGAGGCATTACTGATTATGCTTGGACTGTATTTTAGTTGGGTTTACACATTACTCTTTGTTATAAATCTAGCGTGCCTTGCAGACGTTTCATAACCCAACTGGGTAACATTATCAGTATTAGCAGTAACCTAGTAGAGTCATAAAACACCTGCAAGAAAACCACCAAGTTCAGCATCCAGGACCCTAGACATCCTCCTCCTCCTCCTCCTCTCCACAAACCCACTCCCTTCTAGCACTGATGCTGTTACCTGGCTGGGCAAAGAAACGTCCACAAGCTCAGATCCCACAGTTTCACCCTGAGCTACGAATATCGGTGCTGGCTCCTTGATCATTTCCATCCTGCGCTATTCGTTTCCAGCCAGGGCAGTGATCGGCAAAACGTCCCCCGTACGCACAAAGATCTAAACGCATTATACCGCAACACTTTAAAACCCCACTTTGTGATACGAAAAGCTGCCAAAGACGTCTGGTGGGGAAAATCACAAAGTTGTCTGTTTTGTTTTGTTTTAAACCCTTTGGGGCACTCACATCGTTCGCTGTTTGCAAACTCCCTTCTTTAAAAAAATAAAATAAGGCCCTAACACAAGTAAATTTGTAATTGGACTTTCGCACACACACGCACACGCACACACACACCGCCCAGCTCACTTTATTCCCTTGTAAGGAGCTAGTAGAGGATTTGATTTATTTTAAGGGCTACTTTGACTAAATTCTGTAATTTCGCTAGCTGTCAAGGTGGCGTTAAGCAAAATGGGTTTCTGAACCGCTAGTCGTTTGTGTGTCCCAGGCCGGGCGTCAAGGTCCTTTTCCCCTTTCCTCGAAATTCTGTCACTCTGGATTTACTATCGGTTTCCCCCGCAGTTGAATTCTTAAGCAGCGCTGATTTAACACTCCATCAGCTGGTTGCGGCATTTATTTGAACGCACAATTTCCATATGCTCAGCTCACTTTTTCTCTCTTTTCTTTTCTTTCCCTTCCTTTCTTTTTTTCTTTCCCGCTCTCTCTTTCCTTATTTCCCTAACTGCCTACCTACCTCTCCCTCCTTCCTTCCTCTCCTTTCTTCCAATCCCTTCCTTCCTTTCCCTTCCTTCCTCTCTACTCTTTATTTCCTTCCTTCCTTCCTTCCTTCCTTCCTCCTTCTTGTTCCTTCCTTTCTTTCCACTCTTTATTTCCTTCCTTCCTCTCCACACTTTCTTTCCTTCCTTCCTTCCCTCCCTCCTTCCTACTTCTTGTTCCTTCCTTTCTTTCCACTCTTTCTTTCCTTCCTTCCTCTCCACACTTTCTTTCCTTCCTTCCTTTCTTCCCTCCCTCCTTCCTACTTCTTGTTCCTTCCTTTCTCTCCTTTCTTTCTTTCTTTCTTTCTTTCTTTCTTTCTTTCTTTCTTTCTT